CTTGCTTCAATCCATAAATGGATTACTCAAGCTTACACACTCTATTAGGGTACTCGTTGCTGACAAAACCTTCTGGCTGACTCATGAAACATCTTCAGCCAACTTTCCATTAAGGAAAGTAGTTTTGACATCCATTTGCCATATTTCATAGTCATGAAATGCAGCTATGCTAACAGAACCCGAATAGACTTAATCTTGGCTACTGGAGAAAAGGTCTCATCATAGTCCACTCCAGGAATTTGAGAGAACCCTTTGCAACCAGTCTAGCCTTATAAGTGTGTACTTTACCATCCATGTCGGCTTCTTCTTGAAGACCCATTTGCACCCTACAGTCTTACGACCTGGTACATTCTCAACCAAGTTCCAAACTTGATTGTCATACATGGATTGTATCACGCTATCCATAGCCTCTTTCCATTTCGCAGACTTGGGGCCTGCCATGGCTTCCACGTAACTGTTAGGTTCATCCATACCTACTAGTGTCTCATCACTAATAAGTGTCTCACCTTCCGCAGTAATACGAAAACCATAGTAGTGCTCAGGTGCATTCCTAACTCTCGTGGAACGTCTCAGAGGTACAGAATCGTCAATTGGCTCAACAGGAGTTTCCTCCTCAAGTTGAGGGCTAGGGTTTGAAGTTCCTTCACCACTTACTCTTGAAGTTCTTCAAGGTCAATTTGCCTCCCACTGTCTCCTTGGCTTATAAATTCTCTCTCACGAAAGACTCCTCTTCTTGCTACAAAGACCACATTATCACTAGGTCTGTAAAAGAGGTAACCAAAGGATCTTTGTGGGTAGCCGATGAAAATACACCTCTCGCTTCGGGGTTCTAGCTTATCATGAGACTCGCGCCTGACAAAAGCTTCGCAACCCCAAATCTTATTGTGGTCTAGTTTGGGTACTTTACCAGTCCACATCTCGTGAGGAGTTTTGGCAACTTTCTTTGTAGGGACTAGATTAAGGATATGGGCGGCAGTCTCTAAGGCATACCCCCAGAATGAGATGGTAGCAAAGCTCGACTCATCATGGAACGAACCATGTCTAACAAGGTTCAATTACGACTCTTAGCCACACCATTCAATTGCGGTGTCCTGGGAGGTGTCAATTGTGAGACAATCCCACATTCCCTTAGATAGTCGAGGAACTCTGAACTAAGATACTCACCACCACGATCGGATCGAAGCATCTTAATGTTCCTGCCCAATTGATTCTCGACTTCCTATTTAAATTCCTTAAATTTTCGAAAGTCTCTGACTTATGCTTGATTAAGTAGACATATCCATATCTACTGTAATCATCGGTAAAAGTCAAATAATAACGATTAGCATCCCTTGTGGCATGTTTGAATGGTCCACACACATCCGTGTGTACAAGGACCAACAAACCTTCACCTCTCTCACAAGAACCTGTGAAGGGTGACTTTGTCATTTTTCCATGTAAGCATGATTCGCAACTATCATCTGACTTTAGGTCAAATGACTCCAAGACTCCATCTCTTTGGAGTTGGCCTATGCGCTTCTTGCTTATATGTCCAAGTTGACAATGCCATAACGATGCTTTATCCAAGTTCTTATTATTAATAGAATCAATACACATCACATTATTTCCTAAGTTATCAACCACAGATACTGTTTCATACACGCCATCACAAGGTAATGCTTTAAAATAAAGAACATTATTAAAGAAAGCATCAATAGAACCAACTTCATTATTAAATGAAAAGGTAAAACCTTGTTTATACAATGCATGAAAGGAAATAATATTTCTTGCCATTTCTGGTGAATAACAACATTTATTCATTTTATTCTAGACAGTTATGAGCGTAAGCTCATTCGTTTAGAACAAATACACAACAATAACATAATGGCAAATTTGTTCAGCAAACCTTTCAGTAAGGCTCGTTTCGATGTGCTTGTGGGTTTTCTGAAACTGGTTCGTTTCAAAGACTAATTTTTTGTTTAAATTTACGCATTTATTTTATTTCCTTTCTTCCCTGTGCACAAATCTAGGGGGAAATCAAAAATAAAAAAAATTATAAAATCAAAAATTACAAAAAAAAAAGTTATAAAATCAAATAATTCCTAAAATATGTCTTCTTTCGTATGTGTTCTTGGGAATTGATATAAAGTTTAGTGCTAAAGGGCTATATGAAATATGTTTAATGCACTAAACTTGAATTTTTTAGACTCTATGTTCAATGTGTTGGTAGGCACGAAGGATTCGAAATGAAAGGACTAGACACTGTTGACAATGAAAGGACTTTACAGTGTTAAATTATCTGGACTTAGATACTTACATTTGGACAGAACATACGAGGCTTGGATAGACTAAGCAGTGAGATAAACAAGGGAGCCTCGATATACATTAAAGTTACTTATCATCTAGAACTGTGGCTCAACACTTCTTCGACGTATGGACTTATGTCCTTAATTCTGGTGCTGATAGGGTGAACAGGGGGTTCTGATGAAGTAGGTGTATATCAAATTGTTTTTCTTTCTTATCCTCTATGCTAGTCATATGTTTTCCCATTTGCGTGATTAGAAAAGATCCGACCAAGGATGCAACATATGCATTTCTATTTCTATACATCTCTCTATCTAAGCATCTCTCTATCTATCTATTTTAGTCATATGATGTCTGCACTAGATGATTGGAAGAGATCCAATGTTGGATACATCATATGGACCTTTATATTTCTCTATCCCTCTATCTATGTTTGTCGTATGTTGTCACTCTGCGCGATTAGAAAAGATTTGACCTGGGATACGACATATGCATCTCTATATCTATCATCTCTCTCAAATAATTGATCACTCACCAAAACTAAAGATTTCTTTGGAATACCTTGATTTCTACGGTATGTCGTAAACTGGGTAGCACGTTCTAGTGCGCTTAAAATTGAATTGGTTCATGACTAAAGGTTGACTATAGATCTCATTGTGAAATTTAAGCAGACAACAATATCCTTGGTCATTGTCAACAAAATTTTCTATTTAGGAATATAATCGTAATGTCTTGTCACTAATAATCTGTCCAACTTGTAGATATCCTTTGTGCTTAAGTGGACCACAATCTTGGTGATTGATTAGGGCTATCCATGCATATGTGTGCTAATAAACGATACTAAATTACTTGACAATTTTTGATCCCAAAAGTTTTAAATTTAGTTATTAAAATGTTTTTATTTTAGTTTAGTTTATTTTTGTTTCTAAAATTTTTATTTTTATTTTGCATTTAATTTGCATTCATTTCAAATTTTAAAATTTAGTTTTATTGTATTTCCATTTATAATCTAAGAAATGAATTATCAAAATCGATTTTAAATGTTTTGTTAAATGGATTTTCTTTTGAGGCCCATTGAATTCGGTGGCCTAAGGGCTGAGAACCCATTTTAGGGTTTAATAGCGGGTTTCCTGTTTCAATTTCATTACCATCAACATAATCACTTCCTTTCTCTCAAAACCTAAGCGACAACCTCCGTTGCTCACTATTCGTCTGTTCATCTTCATTCTTGACTCAAATCACCAAATTTTCTGAGATTCTTTGCAATTTTTACTAGGTATGTGGATTTCGAGTAGAATTCTTCAGTTTTTATGTCCTTTCTTGGAGTTTTTGCAGGTGTTCAAAGGGTTTTCGGTGAGCTTAACGGTGGTTCTCCAGTGAAATTATTGAGGGTTTCAAAATTCAAAACGTTGCATTTTCGGTTTGACCCGGACCCGACTTAAAACAACTTAATCTGACCGAAAACGTCGTTCTTTGACCGAAATCACTATGTTTTTACCGAAATCACTTGCTTTTTATCGAAATCAACATTTTTGACCAAAATTTGAATTTTTGAGAAAATAAAATTTTAATTTTAATTTTTATTGTTCTCACTTGGCTTATTTGGTGTAGATAAATCGCAGATCAGTTGAAGTTTGTTGAGTCTCACAATATCATTGGATATCACTTGGATCCCCCTGCCACGGATAATGCATTCAAATCCATGATCATGGGTTTGAACAATTGTGCAATTTCCCACACTCTACATGTCAATCCAGTCATACGCAAGGACCTGATTAATGATTTCTGCAGGAATGCATCGTTCAACTGTCCAAAAGTGGATGGTGCTGGTGCTATTGAATCCTGTATGAATGGCAAGCAGATTATTATTACACAAAAATTCATTTAGAAAGTGCTTCGGTTTGGAGATCAGCCTGCTTTCCCAATAGAACTCTCTGCTGCCAAGATCACAGAAGTATTAAAGAAGATTAATTACGAAGGAATTTTTCCTCTAACAGTCAACAAGCTACTTCCCCCTTACTGGAGATTTTTTACCCATAATTTTGTTAGCTGCATCTCTGGAAGAAAGGGCGGGTCAAAAGAGATAAGCCAAACAGCAACATCCGGCTTTGTATTGCTAACAATGGACTGGGAGTACAATTTCCCAAAATTTGATTTTGACGAAATAAGGAGAAAACTATCTGGGAAAAAGAAGGATATTTTCTTGATGTATCCTCGATTTTTATGAATCATCTTTGATGCCATGCATCCAAAGTTAGAAGGGACCCCCAATACTCTTGATGTCAATCCATGGGTCCAAACACCTTTAGACTCATGAAACAAGTACGGAAAGCATCAAAGCTTGTTTTCAAGGGAACAAAAGCACTGGTGAAATTTGGTAAATTTGTAGAGTCAGAAGATATTCAAACTGCTGGTTCTCCAATTGCAAAGGTAACCGAAAAACATGTGGCACCATCAAAATTAAATCTCAATTTTTTGTTTGAGGTTTCTAATGATGTTAATGATGATTTTAACGATGATGATGATGATGATGATGATGATGATGATGATGATGATAATAATAATAATAATAATAATAATAATAATAATAATAATAATGAGGATGTTCGTGTGTTAGAACCATCGAAGGATCTAGTTAATGAGGTTGTGATTTTCCAGCTGGGACAGAAAAATAAATCAACATTATCAAGCAACCAAACGATCCAACACCTGAACATATGGAAGAGCTTATCGTAAAATTACGGTCAAATGCGAGGAAGCCTCCCCAAGCAGTTCTTTTTACTACTAATTCTCCATCTGGGAGTGATAAAGTAGATTTAAATTCCTTCCTGGTGCAAAGAAAGCGAAAACATAGAGATCCTAGGCCGAGAGTGCTTATTACTAAACCAGTACAACAGCCAACTTCAATTTTTGAACTAGCCCAGGTTAATCAAGATGATCATAGCCCAATTTTTGACGAAGAGTTCTTAGCTAATGAGGAAAATTTTGCCTTTAGAAGCTCTTCTTCCCCCACCTCCTCCAGAGCACAATTTTGCATCTATCAAGCTAGCCAAGCCACTTGCTTTTTAGGACTCTATTCCTCAATCAAGAGGAAAGGGAATATCTATTGGCTCAGGGCAAGGAGGTGATAAATACTCTCAACAAACCATATCTGAGCTCAAACAAGAGATCGTAATTTTGAAGTAGGAGTCTATTGAGAAGGACTTGCTGATTGGCAATTTGGATGTGAGAGTTTTTGAGCTTGAACCCAACCTTATGACACTTAGATTTAATGGCGTATGTGTTCTTATCCATGTGAATTGTCAAAACCATAGTCATAAGACAAGGACAATGACAAATCCAAACTCATATGGACTAAACTCAATCTTAATTTATTTCCATCTGTAAGGTCAAGGGCCTACCATTGCTTCCAATTTGTTGTGCAACCAATTGAGAACTCTAAGAACTCATATGCAAAGCAAACTTTAATTGGAATGGGCACATACTATGTCAACACGATAGGTTATGAAGCTCAAGTCGTGTGCTAGTGAAGATCTTCAGGTTTTATTCTTGATTAGTTCTTGAGACTTTCAAGACCTTTAAGAATCCCAGTGTCCTCTTGACATATTCTTCACACAATTGGCCTTAGTTGGTCTTTGTTTTATCCAAAACATCACAACTTACCAATTTCAAATGTACAAAAGTAGAAACTTTTACTCTTACGTTTGAGAAGTCTTTTAAACCTTCTCGAATACATGTCACTCAAGTTACAATCTTGGAGTATGACTCTAAGACTTGTATTGGAATGAAGTATGAATCATCTTCTTGATTTAACCATTTCAACAATTCAAGATTCCTCTTCTTAGTCATAAGACTGCACTAAGATTTCCATAGAGAACTAATTGTGCTATGGTTTCTTAATCATTAAGATGATCACAAAAACTGATACTAAAGTACTCTCCCATATTTTCAGACTTGAGAAACTTTTATCTTTCTACCTAAGTTGATTCTTCTTATTCGCTCTGTCATACATTGGAACCTTTAGCAACGTCTCAGAATTACACTTAAGCTTGTAAGTATAACCATATTTACTGATCTTTAGTAAATTATGATGAATAGTCTTATCGATCTTCTGTGGTGGACTTAATCAGTGCACAAGAATGTGTACTCAATCCCTTAGTCCGTTACTTGACTCACATATACATGTGAACATGGAACTAGTCTTAATTTTTCAAAGATGAAAAATTCTCATTCATCATGTTATACAACTTGCATGATTCCAAGTTCCGGTCCAATTGATACTTGGGTGATGAGGATCTTTCCTTATTTGGTAAATTTAGACATTACCACAAATGAAAGAATCAATTTCATATTTCCACTCTTGCTATTAATGGAATCATATAAGCAACAATCTTTTCACAAACGCCATTGTAAGATACATAAAATAAATAAAATCGAAAATTTCCTTTTATTTTTTAAAAATTTTTGGGAAAAATTATACTTACAATCCATATGAAAACTTGTTGTTATCTATTGCTAAGCAATATCTCATAACTCTTAGGAAGTAGCTCAAGAATCCGATCTTCAAACTATGCGATAGAAATCCATCTACGTGATCAAATTCAGTATATTCTTTCCTTAAGTTTCTTCACTTATCTTTGATTCTTAAAACATCACCATGTGACCCAGTCACATCATATATCAAGAATCTCATAATAGAAACTTAGCAGAGTTAGATAGTGGATTTTACCTTAAGTAGAGTCAACCTTATTGACTTTGACACCCTTAGGTAATATTGGCAGCTTCGCAACCAATGCCCTTCTTTTGGCAATTTAACATATGGACGCTTTGGTAATGGAACATGAGACTATCACAGACTTCGCCTTTCTCTTTACCATTTGGTCAACTGGGTTGACTATAGCCGATCCCTTTCCACTGGGAAGAGAGAGCTTTACTGGATATCCAATGTCGTTATTGTCAATGTGCACAAGTTTTAGGAAGTTGATCTAAGCAAATAGATAGGATCATTACGGATCTTGTCATAGTCTGTTTCATAGGAGTCCCAAAGTAACTCACTATGTGACTTACAAAGTAGTTGAGCCACCAACTTTCTCATGACTTTGACACCCAACTCTCCCGACTTTTCAATATGTGACTACATCTCCAAGATGTGATCACATATAGACCTTTGCTTGCCAATAGGGCTTGAGTGACCTTAAACTTTTCAAGAACTTGTGGGTTAGGGAGAATAATTTGGAGGAGGTGAAAGAAGTATGATTTCCATGGGATTTGGGAAGAGGGATGCTATAATCCAAGCTATAAATGTCACACCCCAAAACCGATAACGGCGGAATACGTTTCGGGGTGGAGGACGTAGTGTACGCTATCATCACAATTGCATAATAGTAAATGCAAGAAACATACAACCATTTCATTTACATAGTGAGTGTATTTACAAGTGCATTTTGTAATGTTCAACAAACACCAAAAGTAAACAAAAATAAGAGATGGGTCTTGCATGCTCCATCTTCTCCAAAAATGCTGCAGTCGTACCTGTCTATCTTTGACCGGAAGATACAAGTTATTTTGAAAAGAATATCAGCATAAAGCTGGTGAGTTCATAAGAGTTTAGTGTGTGTTTTTATATAAAAAGCATTAGAACCGATAGTATAAAAGTTGAAATTTACAGTTATAAGTAGTAGTAAAACCTAGAAAATCCTATATTTTCCAGAAAGGGATAGTAAGTGAAAACCTTTAAGAAATATGTCATTTTCATCTTTGAAAACCATTTATCTTGGAAGTATGATAGTGACTCACAAATAAGTAAAGCAATATGGTAAGTTATACTTGAAGTAAATAATAGTGGTACAACTTCCTTTAGTATTAGATACTTGTTTACTTCGGGATATTAACTTTACCTTTTGTTTAGTATTTTAGTGCGGTTATAGTGTATTTCTTGTATGTTACCAATAGTGTGAGTAATAGCGGACCCCATGACCATCCCGGTCATGTACAGTGTAGTGGAGTAAAGGCATCCCTGGACTTGTACGGCTCGGACTGAAATTAACAGTCGGGATGTAATAGTGTCTACCCCGTATAGATCTATACATATAGTGTCGTCTTCCTATCGGAAAACTTCGGGCGTAGTGCGTAGCGAATAGAGTATCTCGTAGTGGGTTAATGAGTTATTTCATGATTAGTACTTTCTCTTGTATTATAGTGTAGTAGTCTTTTGTATAACTCGTATTGTATTCTCTTATTAGTGTATAGTTTCATAATAGGGAGAATTATAGTAGTGTAGAGTAGTAGTTAAAACGAGTAATAGAGTCCTTAACTATACCTATTATAGTTAACTTAGTGTGTATGGTTCTAGTCAGGTTAGTGATTTAGGCATTTAATGAAATAAGAAATACTCGTAATCCGTACTAATATACAAGATATATAACTAAGAAATCAATGACAGTCGGACGGATAACCACTACCCTAAGCCCACAATCAAACAAGAACAGGAAATAAGGCGAGCTATCGGTCCTAAGTCCTTCAAGTCTTACTTATATAAATATATCAGTGTGGTTACATTTTTTATAAGGAGATTATTTAAATAAAAGTATTGTACAAAAGAAACATTTAAAACTTGTTTGTTTATCCAAAAATAGTTTTGAAAATAAATGATTTATTTACAAGGCATAGTGATAAATCACATGTGATTTGAACTACAGGTAGTGAATCACATGTGATTAATTCTGTAACATAAATAATTGTCTTGTATAACTTTTCATAAACATGTATATTCAACTTGTATCTCCCCCTTAAAACATATAAAACATTTGAAAGGTTCATTAAGGGGTATGAACTCACCTGAATTCGTGTAAATCGGGTGAATCGGGTAAATCGGGTAAAAGTGTCGGTTGAGCGTTTTGTTCCAAATAATGACTTGTGAACCTTTTAGGAACCTAATGTCATTTGAAAATATGTGTTTTACAAGAAATTAATCATTTTATGCTTTCGATTTAAGTATTTAGGCATTCTAGCATCAATTCGGGGTTTTAGGGCCTAGAAGGGGTTCCCGGGAGTGGTATAAGGCCAAGAAAGATTTACGGTAGGGTCCATGAGCTCACTCCCTTGTAGTTTATGGCCCAAAGGCCACTCCTTGGGAGTTTACGGCCGTAAGCCCCCTAGGCTTGGCTGTAAACTCATGTGGTCCTCCAAAATGCAAGTTTAAGGCCTTATTTCACTTCCTTAATTTAATAGCAAGTGTCTTGAACTAATATGGAGGGTTTAAACCCTCATTTTGTGACATTTTGGGGAGTTTACGGCCAAGACTTGTGCTTGGGCCGTAAACTCCATTTAATCCCTCAAAATGTATGTTTAATTGGTACAACACACTTCCCTTCACCTTAGGTAAATTCTAGAAGGCCTTAGATGGAGTTTTGGGACATTTTGGCATAAAAATTGGGGAGTTTACGGCCCAAGAATAGCCTTGGCTATAAACTCTTCTTTTGGCCTGAAAATGAGAAGTTTAAAGGTACAACACACTTCCTAGGGTCTTAGCTAATTTCCTTACATGCCCTAGATAAGTTTTTGGGACTTGTTTGACATAAAATTTGGGTGTTTACAGCCCAAGCATAGAATTGGCCGTAAACTCCTCTTTTTGTCCTCAAATGGTGTTGTTAAATGCACTTCAACATTTCCTAGTGTCAAGACTAACTTACTAAACACCCTAGATGAGTTTTTGTGGCTTTTAACAAGGGTTTTTGGGGTGTTTACGGCCTAAGCATAAGCTTGGGCCGTAAACTCTTTTTTAGGCTTCAAACTCTTGTGTTTTAATGTACAAACTCTCCTAGGTATATCTCTTAATTAGTACATAAACTTAAAGGAAGGAAAAATGAGGCTTTTGACAAGTTTTTAGGTGTTTACGGCCTAAGGGGCTTCTTAGGCTGTAAACTCCCTTTTGATCCTTGTTTTCTACGATTTATGGCCTCTAATTTCAATGAAATATGTTTAGAATAAGATAGGGAATATGCCCTTACGTTTGGAAGCCGAAATTCGCGGATTTGGGGTCGGTTTCGGGTCTAGAGAGAGAAAGTAGTGAGAGAGAGTGAAGGTGTGGTAAAAGAGTTCAAATGTAGTGTCCATTTGTTTATATATG